GGCTAGAAGAAGGAAAAGAAAAAGAAGTGTCAAATGATGACTTGGAAATCATAAAAGTCAAACAAACAAACAAACATACCTTGGTCTCCTTCTCGATTGATCCAATGTACGAGTCAGGGCGCAGAAGAATGTGCTCCAGCTGACTTTTCTTTTGGTAAATCTGCTCAATCGCAGGGCCGCTTGAGGTGCTGGCCATGATGATGATGGTGGTGGTGGTGGTGAGCGGGTGCTAGGTGCTTCGAGGTTGGAAGGTTTGCAAATGGAGAAACAAATAAAAGACGATGATGACGATGACGATGAGAAAAGCGATGGACCTGCTCTCGATGAAAGCGAAACATCAACTGAACGAAATAAGACGCTAGGCCAGTGCTGAAATCATTTGTTGAACTGATGCTGCCGTTGTGCCGCCAAAAATATGAGGCAAAAAACTAGACTATTTTGACACATCAAGTAACGGTTCGGTGTTTTCAGCATCACTCTGACTGAAANTGCTGCCGTTGTGCCGCCAAAAATATGAGGCAAAAAACTAGACTATTTTGACACATCAAGTAACGGTTCGGTGTTTTCAGCATCACTCTGACTGAAAATCACGTGCGACTTGTTTTGAACTTTTTCTGTTTTAGCGAGACTTTTTTGCAACTTTGAACTCCATTTGATCATCATGGCTACCACCACTGCTACAAATCCAGGATTTGCTTTTGTCGTCAACTCTCTGTTGAAGAGTAATAAAAATGCAAAAGTACTCTCGAAAGCGAAAAAAGAAGCAGACACCAAAATCGGAGAGAATTCATCAAAAGATGTTCCCCTTGAAGTGGTGGGAGATGATGGACAGGTAATACAGACGTCTACTAACGAGGCAGTTGTAAAAGAACCGACCAAGAAAGTGAAAAATGTAAAACTTTCAAAAATAACCAAACACCAACTTGAGTCAATTGGACGGACAAAACCTAAAGTGGAAGATCGTGAAAGAGAACGCCGTCTGAGCGCTATCGCTACCAAAGGCGTTGTTCAACTGTTCAATGTTGTTAAAGAACAGCAGAAGAATATCAAAAATAAGCTTGAAGAGGTCGGTACTTCGACAAATAAAAGAGCAAAGGTTCTGGAGCAGTTTGACGAAGAAGGTCTACTGAAGAAGGTGAATGAAAAGGGAAATAAGGTAAGTTAAAGATTAGCAAAGCGACCATGCTAACTGAACTTTTAACTTAATTATTTAATTACTGTATTTTTTAATTAGGTTACTAAAAAGGAAACAAAAAATGCCGAAACAAAAAAATGGAAAGTATTGAGCGACGATTTTATGTCCGGATCAAAGTTCAAAGACTGGGACAAAGAAAGTGAAGACGATTCTGACTAAAGTTAACTTGACAGTGCCGTATACTTTGTAAAATATTTCTTTGTATTTTTAAGAATGTACCATTTTTAAGTTATTCTCTTTACTATCTTTACTCATCATCAATAAAAACAAAAATCGCATTTTACCATACAAAACTTTTCCCAGCAAGTTTCTCTGAGAATCTTCCCGGCTGCACTTGACTTTGGCAAAACATCGGCACCGTCGCTCTCGACTATTTTTGGGTTTGCTCCGACGGCGTCCAACTTCGCATGGAATCGAGCCCCAGTCCTGCTACGCTCTCGATCTGGCAGCGAGCGCGAACCCAACTTTACCGCCACCGAATCATCCTCACAGTGCCACCCTTTCTCTTCTATCTCATCTACGCGGACTACAGCCGAACACAGCGGTGGAAGCGCGAGCAAGCTTTGGCCAGCAACAGCATCAAGCAATAAGCACCAGTAGCCACAACAACCGAAAGAAAAGATGTCGGGCGGTGAGGTCTTCTACTCACAGCGGCGTTTGTTTAAAAAGAACTGGCAACGCCACTCATTCGGACTCCTCTGCGCCACCGCGGCGGCTTTCGTGGGCGCTTACTACCAAGGACTAGCGTACAATCGGTACAACACCTTCCGCGGTCGAACTGCTCTCTACGGAACTGAGCCGCTGGACGGCGGTAAATACAAAAATGAAGCATCGTCCTAATCAAACTCGCGAAGATGATACTGTCCTACTTTTCTAATTTGTAGATTTGCTTGTACAAACCAACACTGATTTCGCCTTTGTTAAAGTAGTCATGCTAAATAAATAAAGTAAAGTTACTTTTAACTTTTACCCCGCTCTGCAAATGCTGATAAATCTGAATTTTCAAAGTGTATCCAGAAACCATTTTTTTCTTATCTGATCAGTTTTTAAGAACCAGAAGTAAAAATTCCGAAAATTGTGAAATAAAAAGTGCAATTGAAGTGTCTAGGTTAAAATAGGCTGCTATATCTACTCAAACGGGATAACTCACCAGACTATCAGTCAAAATGTTTCGGGCTAGAAGTTTGAAACCTCTGTCAAATCCCGTTCTTTGTCAACGTTTACTAGCCAGTGCAAATCAATGCTTTTCCAGGTGATCATCCTGTGATTTGTTCTTTGAATAAATCACCTGGTTTATCTACCTCAATCTTCCCCAAGTTGGCCACTCTAATTGAAAATTTGAGCTGAGCACTTCTGAGACACTTCGGTTCAGAACACCGGTGAGTAGAGAATTTAGCCCAGGTGCTCACGGAATGGTCATTGATCAAAGTGGTGAATTGTCGTACATTATGAATAAAGCGCCGTCATCTTCTCGTGCCAACTTGACAATTGGTCGCCTGTCAGGCAGTGGTAGTGCTAGTTCCAGCGAAATGAGCAGCGATTCGGATTCGGAAACAGCCAGCAGCAAGGGAGGTTGGTAACTTTGGACTGTTGACAATATTATCTTCAACTGAAAAAGATTTTGTTTCAGCAGTTCGTGTTGGCGATGGCTATCAGGCAGTCATCCCTGACTACTGTCTTCCAAAACCAGGTAAATTAAGCTAAATAAATTAAATTTGCTGACTTTTGTGAAAACTCTGTCGTTTTATTTCTCGTTTAGCGCCATCTCAATATCCGGAAAAGGCGATCAAGGTTTGGATACCTAACGAGGAAGTTAGTGACAAAAAAAGTACGTGTGTAATGATTTTATAATTGTATCTTTCAAACAGACAATTTTATTATCTTTTTCAGTTAGCGAATATGTTCAAATTGCAAAAGAAAAGTACCGCTACAATCCGGAGCAAGCTTTAGGAATACTGTTCTGGCACGGATTTGATTTTGAGTGTGCTTTGTCCGACTTGTCCAACTTTTTGCCCTATCCTGATGAATGGACAATGGAAGACAAAGCCCTGTTTGAACAGGCGCATCAGTTTTACAACAAAAACTTTCTCAAAATCAACACGCTTTTGCCTGACAAGAAAATTTCTAGCCTTATCAAATACTATTACACCAAGTGGAAGATTTTAAAGTGTGTAAAAGATCCATCTTATATACAAAAACAAATCAACAGGAAGCCATTTCAAAACAAAGATGGCAGTAATGGTTCGCCAGGAAATAATGCTGATAAGAACACAGACATTGAATGTGTATCACCTAACAGACAGGCGTGTGCTCTCTGTCAAACCCGAACCCGAACCACCGATTACTTTAACACTAACCAGGGAGTTGTTTGTCGTTCATGCTTCGTCGAAAAGAGCAAAGACGGAAATATCAATGCAAACGGTAACAATGACGAGGGTTACTTTGAGGATGAAAATAAAGTCCTCCCAAATGGAATGACAAAGATGATACTTGACAAGAAAGTACTCGTTGAAATTGCTCGCGAGCGTGAGGCAAACATTAGTCGAAAAGCAGTAGAGTTACTGGAACTGGATATTGCCGATGTGATTCGCAAGATTCGTGAGCACAAGCAGCAGAATGCTTCCATCAAAGAGTCGCTCGTTGAGTTTCCCGATTTGATTGGTCTAAACGTAAGTCATTTTTGTAAAATTTATAAACAAATTTCTAACTCGTTTTTTTATAGCAAAATAATAACCGCTCCAGTTCTCGATGGAACGACTCTGACATTCTCATTTTCACAAAAGCCATTTCAGAGTTTGGTTGTGATTTTAAGACAATCGCTGAAATTCTTGGCAGCAAAACTGAAAATCAGATTAAGATGTACTATCTTGCAAATAAGGACAAGTTTAAAGACGTAATGTCAAAACAAAACATTGAGAACTATATGGACGAAGAGATGGTCGTGGAAGAGTCCTCTGAAGAGCCTCGCCAAGTTGTTGGTCGATTTGGCAAGTAGTTTCACTGCCACTTTAGAAGTGGTTCCATTCCGATCTATTTGATACCTTTTTTCGTATCCTAAAATATCATTTTATCCGAACATCACACTATGGATTGAAAGAACTCGTAGAGAACTCGTAGAGTGTACAGATATGTATTACGATCTATTTTATCTCCATTTCAACTTTTTTACTTGTCAAGTATTCCCGCCATAATAATAAAGAAGCCTTATTTTATGTATAGCACTTGTTTTTTACTTAAAAATGCTATCGGTGAGAAAATGCAAGTGAAAATATAATAACGGTAAACAGTGGTAGGGTTCATTGTTAAAGAATTGTTTAGAAAGAGAATAGACATTGACATCCTTTTAGGGTAACAAATGGTGTTTGTGGTGGTGGTGTATGCTGCCTTGGGGGTTAACTAGAGTAAGAGGGTGACATGGTGTGTCTGGAACAGCAACGGTAGCAGCCGCAGTGATTGGAAGTCTATAACACGAGGCAGTGATCAGAGAACAAGTCCGGTAAGGGAAAATGGGTAAAGTTGCACAGGGTGGTGCTGCCAGGCGTTGCTGGGGAAGGCTTTCCAGTTTAGGGACAGAAGGTGATGATGATGTCGTTGATGACACCCCTCTCTTCACAATTGAAGGAAAGAAAATTATGAACACGGGCAGAGAACGTTGGGTGTGCGAGTGTTGTGTGCGAATAAAAGAAATAGGAGAGAGAGAAAGAGAGAGTGAAAACAGTGATGTGAAGAAAGGAGATAAGCTACAGGTGCTCTTCTGTGCGACTAAAGACAGGTGAGAAGAGAAAGGCAATAAAGCTAGCTGCTGCTGAATGTGAGAAAATATAATCAAATCAAATCAAATCAAAATACGTGGCTAGGCTTAGCTGTTTGGGGAGGTGCTACCTTAACGGAGGAGACAAAAAATATATATAGTTCTATGTTTGTACCATTGATGAAAAGTTACTGGAAAATGAGAATGTAAAGTGTAAAAGTGCTACTTCTTTTTTAACGTAAAGATGCCTCGTTTCTTTTCCTTCTCGTCTTTTCTTGCCTCAGAGCCGCCGGCAGGCATTGTCTGCGATCGACTAGGTCCGGGTGACTGAACGCTCTCAACGGCAGAGCCTATCTTCTCAATCCACGAGTCCATCTCGGCGTCCTCCTTTGCCTGGAAGAGGTACTCTGCACCGTTGGCCAGCTTAAGTCTGAAAACGTGCTTCTTTTTGGTGTAGTTCGAGGCGACTTCCACGGTGACCTCCTTCAAAACCAGAGGCACCTCACCACGATAGTATGACTCGGGCTCGTTCTTGGCGTGCTTCTGATCTTTGTACGAGAGGAGGAGGCCTTTCTTGAGAACAATGTACACCTTGTCCCATGATCTAGAAAACAAAACAAAGAACGATTAGCCATCAGTGGGCAAAGTGGGCAAAGACTGAACTCCGTTTAGCTTACCGGTTCGTAGATCGCTTTGTCGTTGTTTCCCACTCATGTTTCCGATTCAGGGCACCTTCAAGAATGATGTCTTCAGAAAGAGAGGCTGCAAAGTGAAAGCATTTCATTAGTTGACACCCATTCACACACACACACCACAGTAGACCAGCCAGGTAAATCATGCTACCTTCATGTTCAACACTACTACGGGATATGTTAGACTTTTTGCGGCCAAATGAACCAAAGGGCGACTTTGATCTCGTCGAGCCTCGTTTAGATTTAAAAGCTGAAGAAGACAAGGAAAGGATAAGGTAATGAATGAGCATGCAACAGGACAAACAAAGGTTTTCCCCCTCCAAAAAAAGTTATCGGTTAGTAAACGTGCACTTACTACTCGAACTACTACGGGAAAAGGTAGATGGAGTCGACATGGGAGTCACTACGGGAGAGTCATCAGGCTTCGGAGTAGGAGGAAGCTTAATTGGGACTGGAGGGTGGATTTCTAGTGGGACGTCTAAATCATGCAGTAGCAAGATCGGTTAGGAAGGTACATGCACAAGGCAAGGGATAGTATAGATTTAGTGCTCAACAAAGAGTTAAGAGGAAAAGGAAGGCAATGGGCGCTAAGGGCTTGATAAAGTGCTCAAAGTGTTTAAAGTCATCCAAGGGTGAATGACTTTGGAAACATTCGCTTTCTGACTTACCTTCGGCTCGTTCATCTGCTTCACTATCCAATTGGGATGCCTGAACGGGAGAGTCGGGTCTGGATTTGAGGATTAAAAGCATTTTAAAATTTGTAATTCAAAAAGAGCGAATCGATTCATACTTGGCCGGTTGTGCTTGGTCAGTGGTGTCCGGGTGTTGAGGCACTTCACGCGACTTGACGTGCTTTTCAAGTTCTTCTTGTCGCTGGTATTCCCGAATTTCAAACTGTTGGTCACACAAAGTAGTTAGCTTAGCAAAAGTTTTTACTGCTTTTAATCTGCCCCTTACCGTTGTCAGTCGCTCCAAAGCGGCGAATCGTTCCTCCTGTGCGGAAGCAGACTTTTCAAAAGCCTCATGCTTCTTGATGAGTCCTTCCACTTCATCAATGGTGTGCTGAAAGGAAAAAGAGGTTAAGTGAGTGACAAGTCACTAGGGCACATCAAGCGGCACATACCCCCAGCTCCTGACTCAACAGGTAAGGCTCCTGGGCGACTAGCCAGGTCTCGGCGACGGCGGCGTCCCGCGCAAACTGGTACACCTCGAGAATCAACTGCAGGTGATCCCATCGCTCGGCCCATCGAGCCTTCAGGGCGACGCGTTTGTTCTCCAGGTTGGACAGCTTGGCGTGTATGTCCTCACTGGCGTAGTGGTTTCGACTGAGCAACTCATTGCCCAGGTTGAAGCAGGCATTGAAGTTGTCGTCCCGGGCGTCAATCTCCGCCTTCAGACTCTGGTGATTGTTCATGAGCAGCTCCACGCCGGAGACGTCGCGCGGCTTCTCGCTGGTGTTCATCTGCCGGACAATGTCCTCCATCCACAGTATCAGATCGCGCACCATGTTGAGGAACTTGAAGAGGTCCCCGGTGTCCTCCAGTTTGCTCCTGCGGAAGTCGCAGCTGCCCAGCAGCTTCTGCCAGGCGTTCACCACCTCCACCTCTCGGCTGACGATCTCATTGGCGCGATCGCCGGCGTAGAGCACCTGCAGCTTGCGACTTTCATCGATGATCGCCTGTACGGCGGCCTTCAGCGTCTGCAGGTCGTGCTCAAAGTTGCCGTGCTTTCTCAGCAGGTTCGACACCGAGACGGCGTCCCGACCGAGCTCGTCGGACATTGAGTTCGACTTCTCCGATATTCTGCCCAGGACGTCCTTGCAGTCGTGGAAGAACTTGTGCAGCTCCCAACTGCTGGAGAGCATCGCCTTGCGCGTCTCCATCAGCTCCAGCAGATCTGCGTACGCCTCATTGAGATTGTCCTTCAGCTCGGCAATGGCGGCGCTGTCCACGTGGCCCACGTTAATGTGGGCGTCGGCGTTGGCGTTGGCCGCGGCGACGCGCTCGTTGCCGATCTGCTCCGTCTCGCGGGAGAACTGGTTGAAGCGCTCTCGCAGCATCGTCACCTGGTCAAAGTCCTGACCCAGTTCATGTGAGCCGGCGACCACCTCCTTCTCGTTGATCCACTGCAGTAGATCGTCAAACTCTCGTTTCAGCGTGTACAGTTTCAGCGCCTCCTCGAGCTTGGAGCGTCGCTCCTGGGAGAGGTCCTTCAGGCCTGCGTACAGCTTGTCCACCTGAGACTGGCGAATGGCAATAGGGTCACTGTAAAAAGAGGGTGAAAAACAAGTTATAAATCTAAGTTCACTGGGCAAATGGAAAGTCGGCATAAATCAACACTCACCTTTCAGGGTGTTCCTCCCTGATCAGTTGACCAGCAGTCTCTCCGAGCTGTCTGATAGTCTCGGCGTAGTCTTCGACCGCGTTCTCCAGACTCTCGTGCTTCTTGATCAGATTTTGCGTAGTGAACTCGTCCTTGCCACGATCTTCCACCATCATGTACAGCTCCTGTTCACTCATCCAGGACTCCGCCTCAGAGGCATCAAAGTAGTACTGTTGCGCGCGTTCAGACTCCAGCAACTTGCTCTTCCTCACGTCCATGGTGTTCTTCAGGTCTCGCCACAACTCCATCAGCTCATTGATCAGTCGCTCAAACTCGCTGCTGTCCTCGTGGCCTTCGCCAATCAGCTTCTGTCCATTTTCGCAAATGTTCAGAATCCTTGGCTCGTGGTTTTCGATTTCCGTTTTCAGCGATTGATTCTTCTTGATGAGCATCTGAACACTGAAGAGACTGTTGCCGTACTCTGTACTTCTCGCCAGTGGCATCTTCTCCTGAATCCACATCTTTTCGTCCTCCACATCTCGTCGGAACTGGTAGGCCTCCTTCTTTTTCAGCAACTGCTGCTTTCTCTCCACAAGTGGCGCCTGCAGCCGGTTGAACTTGTCCTCAACATAGACCTTCTTGGCCTTGAGCTCCTCCGTTTTGTCAGGCTCAATCTTTTCGAGAATCTTAACCTGCGACTCCAGCTCTCCGACTTGCTTCGCCTTGACGGCCAACTGATTCTCAATCATCTGCTGCTTTTGGAGAATCAAATTGACGCTGGTCAAGTCCTGGCCGGTCTCTGCGGTGAGCACCTGAGTCTCGAGTTCAGTCAGCCACGAGTCAATGTCTTCACAGGTCTGTTCGTACAGCACTGGTCGCTTGGCGTCAAACAGCTTCTGACCCTTTTCATTGGTCGTCTTCTCCAGCTCATCAAACTGCTGCTCGAGCTCGTTCAGTTTCTCGTCGATCAGAGGCTGCATTTCCGGCTTATCAGCCACCAGCTCTTCGCCCTTCTTCTTAATCTGAAACAGGCGGTCCTTGTTGCTGAGCACCTCAGCCTCGAAGGCCTGGTGGCGAGTCCACTTGCTGTGCACCGTCTTGGCGCTTCGGTACGTCTCATCCTGGGCAATGATGTACTTCTCCTGAATCCATTCGTTCAGCTCATCGCAGTTCTGCAGGAATTGCTGCAACTTGTACTGATCCTGCAGCTTGTCCCAGTGCTGTCGGGCCTTTTCATTGTTGTTGTTGTACCGCTCCTGGATGTTGTCCGCCTTTCGGCCAATCTTCTCCGAGTCAAAGTGTCCGTCGTTCTTCAGACGGTCAGCGAACGTCAGCACGTGACGGACACGATCCTCATTAGCGTCCATGGTCGTCATGAACGTCTCATGACGTTTGATTGCACTTTCCGCCTGTTCGAGATTCGACGGCACGTCGTCCTTCGCAAGGTAAATCTCCTGCTGGTTGAGCAGCACCTCCACCTGCTTCGAGTCGCGAAGGAACACCTGCAGATCGAGGTTCTCTGAGAGCAACTGCTGCCGGTTCTCCCACATCTTGTGCAGCTCATTCCATCCATCGCGAAGCGCCTTGAGTCGCTCGCGAAGGAACATGTGCTGGTGGTCAGTCTTGTCCTGCGTCAACTTTTCACCATACTCCATGATGCTGTTGAATTCAGTCGTGTAGTTGTCGATCTCCTCCTTGATCTGCTGGTGCTGATTCAGCAGTTTCTCCGCATCTGCCAGGCTGTTTGGCGTGTCCTCGGAAGCGACGGCAGTCTGTGTGTTCTTTAGCCATGTCTGGAAGTGATCCAGGTCGCGGAGGAATCGGTGCAGATCACCGGCTTCGCCCAGCTTGGCGTCGCGCACCTTAATGAGCTCGTTGAGCTGATCAAAGACAGTGCTAATCTGGGTGACGCGCTCACGAATCTCCTCCGCCTCCTCGGGATGCTTGTCCTGAATGCGCTGAGCCTCATTCTCGAGATTATCCACCTGTGAGCAGATGGCTGCCAAATCTCGCTCCATTCCACTGAGGCGGCGTTGAAGGGTGATAATGCCGGAGAGGTCATTGTCCAGCTCTTCGGTAGACTGCAGCAGGCGAGTCTTCTCCTCAATCCACGAGATCGTTTCACGGCACTCAATGTGGAACGTCTGCACACCGTGGGCGGCGTTGATCTCCTCCTTCTTGTGATCAGCGTGGTCCTTCAGCTTGTTCCACCTGTGGAAAGACAACAAAAGTGAGCTACTGAAACAAAAGCTAGTAAAATCACGAGAGCACTTACTTGTCGTTAACGTGGTAGTTCCTCTCTGCAATCTCCTGACTATTCGGGTGGTTGACATTCTGCAGTTCATTCGCCAGGTCATTGACGTACTTGACTCTAGACTCGTTGGAGTTCATCTCCTGTTCAAAAGTATCAAAGCGGTGCTTCATCACCTCAATGTCCTCCATGTCTCGGCTCATGGCCATCGAGGCGAGCATCTTCTCCTTCTCCTCGATCCACTGGTCGACGCCGTCTGATTCGCTCATCAATCTGTAGAGAGCAATGGCGTCGTGCAGCTTCTGCTTGCGATCATTGGCCGCGTCAATCAGCTGGTTGTACATGCCCTCAATGCGATCAATGCGGTCTACCACTTCTGGTCGACTGCGGTAGTTGTTGCCCAGGTTATCTGCCTGCTGCTTCAGCGCCTCGATCGTCTTGTAGTAGTTCTTCAGCTCCTCGCAGCAGTCGTTGTGCTTCTTCATCAGCGACTGGGCATTCGCTTCGTCCATGCCAACATCGTTGCTGTTGACCAGTCGAAGGAAGTCCAACATCCAGGCCTCCACATCGTCGGCATCGGCGAAGAACTGGTGGTAGTCATTACCTTCGCGTAGGGCAATGTTCCGCAGTCCCTGCAGCTCTTTGAGGTTGTCCCAGGTGGCGAGAATTTCATTGGTTCGTCGCTTGATCTCCTCTGAGCCATAGTGGCCACTGTTGGCAAAGTCGTACCAGGTGTTGGCAGCATTGGTCAGCTGTTGGTAGTGGGCAGCTATCTCATCCTCCAGGGCACGATTCTTGCTAATCAACAGACTGACAGTGGTAAGGTCGTGGCCAATCTCATTGGAAGAGAGAATCTGCTCTTTCTCCTTAATCCAGGTCTCCTCCTCGGCCATGTCCCAGAGGAACTGGCACAGTCGTTTTGATTCTTCCAGCTTCTGTCGCCGGGCGACAGCCAACTCAAAGAGCTCAGTGAAGGCGCTCTTCAGCTCGTCGATTCGGGCATCAATGACCTTCGGATCTGCCGGTCGGTATCCCTCCGGTCCCTCCTCGTCACGCAGCTGCTCCAGATTCTGAATAACAGTCTTCACACGCTCATTGAGCACGTTGATGTCCGCCTCAATGAGAGTGTGCTTCTGAATCAGGTCCTCAACGCTCATCAGGTGCTTGCCATAGTCGTCAGTAAGCAGTCGAGCCTTGATTTCGTCCATCGAATCCATAATGTAGAGCACCTCCTGGAAGGCCTTCTGAAGTGCTCGCGACATGTCCAGGCGAGTTCGACGGTTCTTGAGCAGTTCCTGCAGGTAGGTCCACAGACGGAGGACATTGTCCTTGCGACTGTTGATGCGGTTTATGTCGTGGTAGTTCTCCGACTCCAACTCCAAGGCCACCTGCACCACGGCCTGAACGCGCTCCTGGTAGGCGCTGATGTCCGTCTCAATGGCCTCGTGCTTCTTCGCCGCCGCCTCCACCACGGACAGCTCCGGGCCAAAGTTGTCGTGCGACACCAGGCGTTGGTTTTCGCTCAACCAGGCCTCGCGCATGCCTGCCTTGCGATCGAAGCGAGCCGCCAGCTGTTCGAGTTTCTCCTGGCGGATCAGCTCTTCGCGCAACGCCAGTTCGCGCTCGTGTTCGGCCTTCTCCAGACGCTCCCATGCCTTGTTGATGTCGGAGATCATCTTTCCTTCGCTGGGCGTGTAGGGTTTCTGGTTGTTAGCACGCATTCGACTCTGAAGGGTGAAGAGCAAAATCTCCAAGTTGCCCTTCTCCTCGAACTTGGACGGCTTCTCAATGGTGCGGTAGTTGTTGAACTGGATCAGGTCCTGCTGTACGCCGTTCAGCGAGTTGGCAAAGTTTCGGTCTGACAAATCGTCGATCTTATTTTCAATCCAGCGAAGCAGATCACTGGTCAGCTTCTCATACTCGTCGATCATACGGTCAGTCTCCATTGCTTGGCCGACCACCTTGCCGATACGTCGACCTTGAACCGTCTCCGCCTTCATCTTAGAGAAGTAGTGGTAGTAGGTGACCACATAGGTGATGATCGACTTTTCATCCGGATTGTCAGTGAAGACGTCCTCCGCATCAAGCAGTTTCGTCAAACCGAGTTTGTCCTCGGCGACGTCAAAGGCATTGTTTAGGTTTCCGATCGGGTTTGATTTTGATAGCTTCTCATAGTTGATCAGATCGGGTCGATGTTTGTGGATGAGGGCGTTAAATGCGAGGCCATCTTTCCAGGAGGTGGTAAAGTTGCGTACATTGACGCTGTGGTAGCCGGCGGTCTTCATCTGACACCACAGCAGCAGCGCGTCCTTTGCCGACTTGGTCTCCTGGTTGTCCACCTCCTCGATGGTAATGTCCTGAATCTGAAAACGAAGGATAATCGTCCAGATGAGACCCAGCGTAAGGCGGGGGTTGCCGTCGACGATATCATGCGAACCCAGGTTTTCAAAGTGGACGCGCTGCTCTCGCAGCAGAAACTGCAGCGCCTTGTCAACATTTTCGAGGCAGTGAATGCGCATCTTGCCCTTGGTGATGCGTGGCAGTCTTTCACCGGATAGAATCTCGAGAAGTTTGATGAGATTTTTACCGTCTCGTAAATCAGTGTAGAGGTCATTGCAGCGCATGTTGGCCCTGGCAAGATGAGAGTTGACCCACTTGCAGAAGGTCTTCTTCTGGACGGACTCACGCTCATCTGTGTGGGTAAAGAGAACAAGTGTAAACAAACATCCAAGTGGAAGGTCACAAAGGAGATAAAAGGGGAAAGATCACAGTACCTGCGAGGGCCCTGATACGGGCTCGCTCAAAGAGCCTTGAGGAGCTGTTGCCACCATCGTACTCCTCGTTGGTCTCCGTCTGGGTGATCGGATCGTACCGAACGGAGATGTCCGTCGTCATGGTGGTGGTGGTGGTGGCGGCGGCGGAGAGGGTGGTGAAAAGGTTAGTTGTTCGGTTAGTGGCAGGGAAAAGAGTGTCTGGGGCACAGGTGGGGCGATGGTGGTGATCTGAGCTGTTGTTGACTGTCACATTTGGTCACTTGTTTAGCTGCGGTGAGTGGAGAGAAGTGAAGCATTCAGAGGTGATGGGCGCGGATCGGCGCTGGTGAGAGCTGGAGACGCTGCACCGTCAAGTCTCTCGTGTAGCTGCCGGAGACACAGTCAGTCACTGAACATTTAATATAAGTCGAAAGAAGAACATGAGGACAGAAGAGCAGCAGCAGCAACAGCAACAGCAGAAGCAGAAGCAACCGCAGCCGTGAGCATCAGGCAGGCTAACCACGCCCTGAGAAGTGATGGAGCTCGCGAGCTGCCAAAGCTCAGCACCAACAAATACGCTACGATGGCAAGCGTCGTGCAGTGTAGTGATGGCAATCACTGGCGCTCTTTGATGCAGGTAGACACACACACCACACACTTTCTGACGCGGCTGAAATGTCAATCGCTGGTGGTGGATCGCAGTGATCACTATGGTGACGACGTACGGCCAACACTGATGCACTGCTGCTCCTTTGCCACCACTCTCCGTCTCGCCCTGTCCGCCGGACTGGCGCAGGTCAAAGGTGAGGTGACTGGGTTCCCGGGCAGGAGCGGCTGATCACCTGCAGACGGTCAACAGTTCTTCTCTTTTCTTCTCTCTTTCTGGCTCAGCTGCTCTGTCTCTCCGGTGTGTGTGTGTCTGTGTGCGGTGTCCGGTGCTGCTGCTGGTGCCTCCACTGCAGTGGAACAGTACTCTCGGGCAGTGCGCTGGCGCCACCGAACTGCAGCCTCCATTTGCGGCTTCCACTGCAGACTCGCAGAGGCGTGTCCGCATTTGCGCTGACTGCAGTAATGCTGGTCTGCGGTAATGCAGCCGCTGCAGGGACAACAGCAGCAGCAGTAGAGCATTTCCACCAGTCAGCCGACGCCGGTACGCCCCGAGTGTCCTCCGAGTCCGCTCTAATCGCCGACTCAGCAGCAGCGAGCCTAACGGTACCAATCACCTAACGACCTGTCACCGTCGTACCTGCCATCGGCTGCGCCTTTTTCCTCTCGTCTTTCCTGGCAAATGGGCATTCCTTCCTGTGCCAGTCTCCCTTTCTCCCCTTCTCCCTTATTTCATGGCTGCTGCGAGCACTGGATGAGCCAGCGAAATGGGCACCCATATCGGTGATATGCTCTGCGTCGTCTGGTGTCGCCTGTCTTCTTCTCTCGTCGATGGCCACCACTTCGATATCAGTGCGATATCAGTGATTGCGCGCTCCTTAGCTCATCGAACATACATTGCTGGAGGGAAGCGTGCACCACTGTCACTCCTTATCGGTGTGCTTACTATGGCAATGCATGCACACTCGCCGATGATGATGTTTACGATGGCAGTGTTGAACAGCAACACTCAGCGCGGCAGACGGCATCCACAGAGAAGCGCTTCAGTGAAAGGGAGTGACAGACTCCAGCAGAATGATTGGCAGTCATTAGGAAGTGGCCTCCAAGTGGCCTACATGGCAATTGGGCGCACAGATACACACACGCTGTTCACATCGACCAGATGAAAGTGATCGAGTTGCAGCATCATTTGTGCCTCTCTCTCTTTCTCTTTCACTGTCTGTCTGACTGCCTTTTCGCTTGCCGGCTGGTTGACGGGTGCTCTCTCTCGCTTGGTGTCCAACCATCGAACACCAGCCACAGGCAATTGGCGGAAAAACGCCACAGTTTGCCTGGCTTGTCTTTTGTCGGATGCAGTTGATGCCAGTTGCTGCCTAAGCATCTATTTACAGGCACTCCATCAGTCTGCTTGACGAATATTCCTTCTTCCTTTGGATGGCATTGCCTGCTCTATTAATAGTCGGGGACTCCTCCTGTTGTTGGCGTTTGTCTAAAGTCGCCCATCTGCGGGCGTCGAGACAAGTCGCCGTGGTAATCAGCGGCAACCCATCTGATGGCGCCTTGTCACTAGTTCTCCTAGTCCCTTTCTCAGTGACTCACTCACTGCCAGAATAGTGCCAGTGTAGACGATTCCCTGTGCTCAGACTGTGTGGCCAGTGGCACTGTGCAGTAGACAATGTACATGGACATCAGTGCTACTTGTGGTAGTGCTGATCATCAGCAGTGCACCAAGGACGGGTGACTGCTGCTGCTGTTGCTGTTGCTGCTCTTCTGCTGCAGCTGTCTGCTGCGGCAGTTGTTGCCGTTCAAGAGTTGCAATCACTCCATTCATTCATCGCCCAAATGCGAGCGACGAGGGAGTGCCACTCTTACACTCACTCTCTCGACGCTGCACAGATATAGCACCGCAACTGGCAATCATCGTGCAGTGGCTCTGGTATATAGACTTTACTAGTCATCAGTGTTTCCTCGGTTGCTCTTGGTCTTCAATGAGATCAACTGCAATTGCAACGGGTAAAAGCCAAACAGCGGATAGTACCAGTGAAAAGAACCAGTGAAGAAGAGTCAGTCAGTGAGAGAGTAAGTTCGGTCAGCAGGACCAGTTGTGGATAACTACTACCTGGTAGAAGGAGAGTGACAGTGAGTGGTGGAGCTCGCTTCCCGGTCAGAGTGCACAAGGCAAAAGGCAGTTTGAGGCGTGGTCGTGGCTGATCTTTAAAAAGGCTCTGACTTTGCTCACCCGACGTTCTTCAAGACAAAGCGCTTCAGATGTGCAACAAATGCAAATTAATCGCCTAACGAGGTTTGCTCTCGCTCCCACTCGAGCGGGTGAAAAATAAACTTGACGAGATTCTTGCAGAAAATAGTTTCAAGTTACAGAATTTAATTCTTGGTCGCACAACAACTAGTGCCATCTGGCTGCTTTACTTTAAATGCCGCAAATGAATACTAGTAGTAAAGTGATGGATGTTGTTTATTTCGAAATATAATTAATAAATAAAAGGGCAGTCAAGTTGATTAAAAAGAAAGGGTTATCAGTTTTCAGGTAATGTCATTTAAATCCACCCACTGGTCAGTTTGTGAAAGAGGTTCTCATTCAGCGACTGGTTGTGCTCCTTTGAACGCATCGACAGAAAAATGTATCCGCCAATAAACTCATGCGGCACCTTGCAGTTGGCACTAAGGCACTCAAACTCGAGTTTCTCATCGTCAAATTCCACGCAGAGCTTCTTTACTTCCCAGTTGACGTTCCACGACTTCATACGTGCAAATGGCCAAGTGCGAATAGCGTCACCAGTGCTCATGTCGATTCGTATTAACCGATTTGGTGCAATGCCAAGAATTTCCTGGTGAAGTGAAGTACAGCAGAGAATAAGAGATGTGCACGAAAGCAAAACAAAGTCTAATTATAGCATTACCTCGCGTTTGGTATGGAGGAAGCGCACGGCGAAGAAGGACAGTCCGTACTTGGGTAGCGCTTGCCAGGCTCTGATGTAACTCAGCTTTGCTTGCAGTGATGGCATCGATCGAAAGTTGCCGTGCGAATCGTGGATGCGATTGACGACCTGCGGAATAATAAATGTTGTTAGTCCACACTACACCTTACCACATTCACTCGTTCAGTACCTGTTGGTGTCCTCGCTTCATGAAGCGCAGTGCAATGTAGTCTTCCGGGTTGATGGCGATTTTGCTGGAAGACGTTGGTGCCACACTGGAGCCCGTGTACTGCTGCTTCTTGAGAAAATCGCGCGTGGTCTGCACTTCACTGCGGTAAGAAGCGTCGGCCATGGTGCGACCTTTGGTGGCCAGACGGGCCGCAGTGATCCATTCTGCGTACTGTCGCTCTGACTCACATCGCAGCCAGTACTCGGAGACGCCCTCATCGTAGCTATGAATTTTGAAGCCATACTTGTTCTGTGTGACGTTCAAATCAGGCGTTATGTCGCAGCCCTTGAGGTTGACGGTAAAGGCGGGAGGACTCTTATTGCGATCCTCTGCCGACTTGTACACCTTTAGGTTGGTGTCCTTCAGTACAAAGTAGTACCGTTTGAAGTTTTTCAGCGTGAAAAGCTTGTGCTTGGCAAAGCGAAGATATCCGGCCAGTTCGGGTATGTCAGTGTAGCCGTAGTTTGTGGTGCCATTGGCCGATGTGGCGTAGTTGTACACCGGCGTGCCGCCCTCCAGTGTGGACTGCAGCTCATCTAGTGCCGAGTCAATGTCGTCGTTGATCTCATTGTACTGGTCATTCGGGTCGGGGTTCACCGCGAGGATGTTGATTTGCAGCTGCAGTCCGGCAAAGAGGAACATCTCCTCTTCGGTGCACTCCACCTCCTCGGTAATCAGCGACCACTTGGCCTGCTCAAAGAGCTGATTAATGCGAACCGCGTCCAGCTTGGGATTGAGGTCGTAGAAGTTGTAGTACTTGAAGCGCAGCAGCAGCAGATCGTACTCGCGCACGTCCTGCTCGTACAGCGACAACGACGAGTCTACCCAGCCAGCATTCAGTCGAGCTTTCTCATTGAGCGACTTGGGACGGAGCAGCGTCGCCTTCGCCTCGGGATTTGGTGTCACCGGTGAGGAGGACAGTGTGGGCGCAATTGCCTCCACTGGATACAGGTAATTCTGGTTCGGCTGGCTGCCGGCGCTCCCACTGCTCTGAACGGGGGCCACTCCATTTGAAGAGACGGACTCAAAGGCGACGTACGGTTCTGGTTGTGGACGTCTGGTGAGAGTGTTGGTGTTGGGGTGTGCCGGATCCGCCTGAGCAATGGGCCCAATCTGGTCGAGCTGCCGCTGCAGAGGGCTCAGATCGAGGTTGCTAAAGTTCTGTTTGAGGTGGGCAATGATCAGAGGCCGCGATAGACTGAGCTCCTCGGGGTTTCGAATGCCCAGATCGGAGCACAGCTGGACGACGGCGTTGAAGCTGTTGACGCTAAAGTCGACACGTGCGTCGCAGTACCGCAGATCAGGAAGCTGCACGCGCAGAATCTTGTGCATCGGCGTAAAGTTCAGCAGCGTGTCCGCCTGAATGCCCGCCTGGTCGAGCGTCGTACGGGTGCGCTTCAGCCAGGACTTGCGCAGGGGCCACCAGAGTGCATGGTCGGACCAGTCGGCGGTGACATCTGAAACCGAAAATGAAGAGAAAAAGAAGGCAAAGGTCAGAGAAGTGAGAGGGTATGGCGATGAAGGCAGTGCATGCTGCCATTGCACATGGTGCGGCGCTGTGGAAGTGCGCGCCTTTTGCGAACTCTCAAATTAGGCAAGACATGCGTGAGTGGGGCGAATGGACATATAAGGAATTGCCGACAAACAGTTGTGGCGGAAAGACAGTGCCGCTGAGCAGTGAAGTAGTGCTGCAGCAGAGGAGCAAGCTAGTTCACCTACGTTTTTAGACGGCACTCAAAGACTTTGTTTGTACAGACTCTCATCCGCAGTATGAAACAAACGGCATTCAGTCAAGCCAAATAGGGATGTAAATGCCTTCCGCCGCAGAGTAAATATCAAACAGGTTACCCTCAAATTTTTCCTCAGCTGATCACCAGCTAGGCCAATTTGGACCGATTGAAGTGCAAACTGCATTGTGCTTACCGAGTTCTTCAACAAGTTTGAGAATGACACCACCGATGTGCATGTCTCCCTTCACTCGAAGGCGTTTCTCCACTTTGAGGTCCGTAACAAATATGCGAAGTTCCCAGCTGCCATCGTTGACGAGGTTGTGCGTCAACATGTTGTTTTTGTTGGCGAGATGGCTGGAGGTCGAAATTGGTCGATTGATGCGAGCTGTTCGGTCAAATGATAAAGGGCACACACACTATAACACACACAGTCAACAGGGGACAAATTTTGACGCGCGAACGATCATTCGCCTGTGGCAGCGAAACGATGAATGGACAGACGGGGAAGCTCCGGCGCTGGCGCTTCGTCGTCGTCTTGCAAACATCAGCTCTCAGCTAGTCAGTCTGTTCAGCTGTTGCTGCTTTCTTGGCATCGACTCTTTTTCTGCAAACATCGTAGGCGTTTGGCGGCGCTCGGAAGAATAGCAAAAATGGAAAGAAAGCTCAGCCGAGAAAGAGATGCGGAGGAAGCACGGAAAGAGGGAGGAGGGAGAAGGGGCGCACCAGTGCGACACACACTCATTCGCTCTCTCTCGCTCTTTCACTTACTTTCTGCATTGACCTCAAAGCCTCAAATCAAAACGCGCGTGCCCTTAGTTTGACTGGTTGAAAGACCCCGAATGTTGAGACAGTCTACACCCGAGTCTAATGTACTCTGCCTGACACTGACTAACAGTTCAACCTATTACCGACTTGTAATTGCTGGCAGGTAATTGAGAAACTGCCGGTGCATGTTTTATGCAAAAAGTGGCAACATTGATCGACATGTTGCCAGTGCGTTGGGCAATCAAGTTTGTGACTCGGGGATCGATCGGTTGATCAAAAGAGTGAAGAGAGAGAGAGAGAGAAAGTCTGGCAGTTGGGTGGCTAATTAGACCTGTACCAGCAATATAGTGAGAGTAGAAGAAAAGTCTTGCGAAAAAACCGTCTTTGTTTATATTTGCCGACATGTGCAAAGAGAACGAGGGGGATAGTCAAAAGTAGTGCCAAGTTCTCCACTATCAGCCAAACCTGACTTCCATTCCACGTCTAATGAGTCCAGTCACACACACACTCACACACACACACACTCCCTCACAAGGGTCTGCTTGTGAGAAGCAAAAAATTGTTCATCACATATAAAAATGGCGGTAGGCAGCATTGAGCTAGAGCTGTATGCGTTGAGCAAATTATTGCAATACATGGTCGGTGGATGTGTGTGTGTGGCTGGAGAGTGGGCCAAGTGCTATAGCGCTGCACTGCACTTCTCGCGGCCAATCGATATTTTGTAGCGCGCGATCTGGCCCAGGAACAGCAGCCTCTGAGCAGGAGCAGTAACTGGTGCTCCACTTGTCTACTGCTGTACAGTCGGTACGGCAACTGCCTCCACTGTACGGCACCTCGTTGTCGACTCTGCTGCGTGTTCTCCTTTCTCACTTTTCTCTTCCCAGGACCACTCTACGCGTTCCCTTTTCCTCGTCGACTTGAGCTCTTCGTTGTCACTGCAGTGTACATTGTGCTCCCAATGGCTCTCGCGCGAGTCCCACACTAGTCTGGGACCGTTCTGGCGAGGTGCAACCTTGGTGCAGCCCTAGGTGTAGACGTGTAGGGTCCACGGCGACGGACGACGGTGACCACCCTCAGTACTGCTTCCATCACCATCCCTTACCACCACCCACGCAATGCCTAGCCCTAGGCACTGACCGGAAGAGTCCAGTTTTCTCTGCGATGCTACTAGGTAGGCAGATGCCTAAAGTATAATGTGCCTTTATATAACAATTTTAATTACATTTTCCCAGCACCTATCGAGGCGAGCACCTTGCTCGGCCTGGCAGGTGTTGTTGTAGCATGCTTTCTCGCCGTCTACATCTACCACTGCAAGACCACTTGCTTCCAGAAGGTCAGCAGGTGCTGGTGTTGTCAAAAGACGACACTGGCAAAAAGGAGAATTTCGAAAGAGCTAGGTTTGTGCCGGGTGTGATTTTTCGTTTGCCCAATTACAAGCAACCAATTCTCTTTTGTTCTCATCAACAGTAAACGCCTTCAGCTATGACGACGAACTGGAGGTCAGCTCGGAGTGTGACGAAGATGTAATGCGTCATCTACAACAAAGACCGCAGTGTAAATACACCAAATTTAGCAGCTATCTAAGCGAAGGGACAGAGTACCACCATCGGCCGTATAACAAACTGCTCGACTACAATGACAAACACACGGCGGCAGCGGGGGAAATGGTGTTTAATGGTGTTGACGCGCTGACGGCACCGAAAAACAGCACTGGTGCTCTCGTCGGCCCCCGAATCGTCCGCCAGATCAGTGTCTGCCAGCCAGACGAATCGGACCACTCGGGTGGCAGCTGCTACGACGGCTACTACAAACAACACCGATCGGCAAACATTCTCAAGCAGCAGGCCATCTACACTTCCCTGACGCTAAAGAACAAGATGTCACTGGAGAGCATGAGGGAGAACACCAAACTGGGCGGCAAAGACCTCATCTCAATGGCGGAGAAGGGCAGAATCGGCAAGCAGACGTCCACTGAGGCGTCCAGTGAGGCGGGCAGCAATGAGGATTCGCTTCTCATTGACAAGAAGACACACATTCTTCGCCGGCTGAAGATGGCCTCCAGTGAGACTGAATCGACGCAGTCCTCCAACCTGCCTGACTTCAGCCCCAACACGACCATTTCTGAGCCGAACATGTGCAACTCAATCAAGGTGGGCCGCCTGGAGGCGTCATTTGCCTATGACGCACCTTCCAAACGAATATGTGTTTCTGTGATTCAAGCTTGTGAGGTACAGCCATACAAGGCCGATGGTCGAGTCGGTGTCAGTCAGGTTTACGTCCAAGTTCTCCTACTTCCTCAGAAAAAGGCAAAATTTCGAACCAAGTCAAAGCCCATCTTTTGCCCCATTTTCAATCAGACGTTCACATTTAATCGAATCAGCCCAGATGAAATTATGAACTCGGGTTTGCGTTTTCGAGTGTACTGCTCACGTCATTTGATCGGTAAGTAGGACAGGAGAGAATAATGGTGGAGAGAATAGGCCAGAACCTGTCAGTTACCACCTACGCACTTTTTGTCACTGTCTAGGCGAATCTCGGTTGTTGTTCGCGTGTATGAAGCCGCAGCAGCAGGAAACGAAACTGTGGTTCACTCTGGAACCACACAAGCGTATTGCCGTAAGTACTACAGCGAAAAAGAACAGTTATCAAGTGTGCAGATAAATTAGCAGGCTAAGTTAATGGATCTGTTCCTCTAGGCTGATTTGCGCTCCGAAGTGTCAAGATCAAGCCTCGCTCACACTGACAGTACTTCGTCGCAGTCGCTTCACAATACATCACCTGAATTGCTGCTCGGCCTGAGTTACAATGGCGTAACTGGTAGACTGAGCGTAATCATTATTAAAGGTAGCACTTTGAATTTGCATAATATGCTAAATTATCATTTTGTTTCAAAATGCAGGAAGCCAATTTCGAAGCATATCTACTCGGGCACCAGACACCTTTGTCAAAATTACCTTGCAGTCGTCAAGTGGCCAGGAGATTGCACGAAGTAAAACGAGTGTCATTCGCGGTCAGCCAAATCCTCACTTTAAGGAGACCTTCATCTTTCAGGTAGTAATTTCTTAGAAGATTCTCTGACTCACCCCACTCTTGTAGGTTGCCCTCTTTCAGCTTCCCGATGTAAGACTGACAATTTCAGCGTACAACAAGCGAAGCATAAAGCGCAAAGAACTCATCGGGTGGATTACATTCGGCAACAATAGCGGTGATGAAGAGCAAAGCCACTGGAATGACATGCGTGACAGCAAGGGAGAACAGGTCTGTCGATGGCACGTGCTGATGCAGTCGTAAACTTGTACAGTAATGCAGCGAATTGCAGTGAATGATGTGAAAAGACGATTTGAAGGAGTCGGTTTCTGGTGTCATTCCAGACGCTCTCTTCGGTTGACACGTAAACTGAATGAGACTCCGACTGGTAAGTGCCTTGAGTGGTCAGTATCTGTCTATGTACTTCCCTCATTGGCTCACTTTGTTGGAGGCTGATTGAATTTTCAATCAGCAGTTTTGCTGGTCTGTATAGACTGACCGAGAGCAAGGTCGAAGCTTCACCTTGTTTTTCTGGTTTTGCCCGTTTTCTGACCATATCGACAAAAACTTTGTTGTCAGCAATTGTGTTTACTCTGATCGTTTTTTCCTTTTCTCCACCACACATTTTCTCGACCTTTAAATTTTGGACATTTTTTTATTCCACTTTTTTGTGTGTCGCTTTTGCATTACACTTTTTTCAAATGAAGCCTAAAAGTCGGATAAATTTTAACTCGCAGACAATTATTCACGGCACTCAGGCATTTGCTTTTACCGACAAGCCAATCACACATTGTGCATGCTTTACAAATTCATTCATTGTAGATGAGCGTCATTTTCATTTTGTTGCTACTTCCAAATCTCCGTGTGTCGTAACAGATATAAATAATCCTTAGCAATACATTGCTACACAATCTGCTGTAGATGTGACATTATTTGTTTCGAGCCACCTGAATAATAATCAACCTATATTCGTAGTGCCCCTCTACTTTCTTCTCTAGCTTTTCCTCTTGCTAGCCAGCTTTTCCATTACAGAGATTCAGCCTAGGCTTTTCTAGCACCGATTCAACCGTTTCCCATCTTTTTGTGATACTCCTATACTCCTTTGATCAGTTTCCACTTTTTCACTCCTCTTACACCACCTCCTGTTTTACACCACCTTCTGCTTTCCAAATTTTATTTCTTATCAAATGTTCTTTATCTACCTGTTCATCTATTGCTCTGTTACAAGTGTTTATTGTTATCTGGGCCGTCGGCCAGTGTCTGCTAGACTCACTCCTTCGAACATGACATGAACGTGAAGTTGTCGCTGGTGTACAGCAAAAGAATGTGACAAAGTTGTGATTTTTTTACCTTCCTTTCACTTTTAACTCCCATGTTCACCAATTTGGAAACTTTATTTTGTTTGTCTTTTAAAATAAAACAAATATTCTATTGTCATCATTACTTTACTTTTAATTTCAAAAATTTACATGTTGCATACCTGGTAAATGGTATTTTCTGCAAAGGGAAATGCGACTGTACAAAGGCTAGTCAGGCAAGAAAAGGCAAAGGAAGAGATTGCAAAATGTACAACGTTGCAGTAGAGAGGCAAAAGGCAATAATAATAAATAAGAAATAAATTAAAACAGACTGAAACCATGTAACAAAGGCGCAAGACAACAGTGAGATAATGAGTTTACAAGGACAGACAAAAAGTTCTAGGGTAACGAGGTCACTAAGTGGAATTGCTTCTAAGGCAAATTGGTTATAGAGAATGTGTGTGAATATTTCGTGAAACGATTACGACTAGACGCCAAATCTACACGCATCCATACTCGTACCAGATTGAGTTGGAGTTGTTTGAATTGGAGTTGCTGTCAGTGGCCATTTGATTTGTGCAGTTTTGGTTGCTCGTGCTCGAGGTGCTCTCATCGGCATTGTTGTTCATTGCATTACTCAGCCGTTCGGAATCAGCCTTGGTGATGTTCTGGCTGCTGGTCTTGAGGCTGCCCTCTACTGTGGCAGTCGTACTTCCGTTGACAAGTATTCTCGAGCGGCCATTGCCATTCGGCATCATCGCAGTCGCTGTAGTGCTGTTATTGTTAATGTTGTTGTTCAGCACCGACACCTCGATCTCTTTTTCCGAGTCGTGTGACGTTGAAGAGTCTGAATGCACAGAGGGAGATGTGGCAGTGTGTGGCTGGGTAACGAAAGAGGAAGAGGAGGTGCGACCACCACTGTTCAGGTGAACGGCCACATTGCGACTGGGAGGCAGGTGAAACATTTGAGGGGAGTGGATGCCACTGGTGAGACGGGAAGGAACGCCAATGCCGCCGTTCAGCTTTGCCTCTCCCACCACTGGTCGACGCATCAGGTTACCGTAGTTGACACTGTTGCTCTTGAAGTTGCCTCGCATAAAGTTGGCAGTGGAAGGTGAGCCTGCAGCAATGACACTGCTAGCCTTTGACAGCAACGGTGAGTTGCCAGTTGAGCTGATTTGCACCTTGGAGATGCCCGAACCATGGGTGAACTCAATCACTGCTTCATGGGAATTTGCCGCTGGAATGTTTAGTGTAGTGCGTGGAATGTGTTGGCGCGGTGGAATACGTGGTGGTGTGCTTGGCAGATGGTCATGCGGCCCTTTTTTCTATAAAGTAAAGTAGGATCAAGTTAGCAAAACAAAAATATTATTGGGAAAAAATTTACCTTGTCATTTGCACTGTTGTTCAAAGAGTACTGTCTCAAAAGAAGAGTGCTGCTTAAAAGGGGATGATGATGAGGCGGAGATGCATCAATGGATGGTGTCTCTGCTTCCCAGAGACGTCCGTAAATTGCATCGTCCAGTGTGGTGTTGGTCAGCTTTCCACTGAGGTGCCCGTCCTTTCCTGAGACACGAGGCATACTTTTCTCAATAGAAATGTCATACTCGCGAAACATCTTCTCTAGCCGTTCTTTTTTGAGGCACAGTTCGCGAAGCTTATCGACAACCGACTTTTCACATCCTGAACTCAGCTCAAGCAGAAGATCATTGTACTGCGACAGAAGACTGGCAGACTGGGTAGCCAGCCGCTTGCGCTGTGTCTCCAAAGTGGTGTTTGTGACTGCCACCATCTCGCAGTAGTTGGACAGCTTTGAGACCTCAACGTTGAGGCCATTCATGCGGTCTTTGCACTCTGCCGTCTCGCCCTGCAGCTCTGTGTGACGAAGCTTCAGCTCGTTATTCTCTGCCCTTAAGTTCTTGTAGATATTTTGCAGCATTTTATGTTCCGTCTGCAAGCGTTTGAGCTCTTCATTGAGAACTTTATGCTCTTCAGTCAGTGAAACTAGCTTTTCCTTCAAATTGACATCCTCCACTTGTCCTTGAGAAGTCTTACTCTTAAGACACTCTAATTCTTCAGTTGCTTTTCTAATCAACTGCTGGTGTGTTTCATTGAGTGACCTTAGCTCATCCTCCAGTGATTTGTTCTTTGCCTTTAGTGCCTTGTATGACTGCTTCAACAAGCTATTGCTCTGTGTCAGGTTGTCGTAATCAGCTGAATAAACCAAAATTGTTAGCAAAACAAATTACTGTCATTTGTCAACGGCACTTACCTGTCAGTTGTTGGTGTATCTCCTGAAGTGATTCATTGTCCCTAATCAACAGTCGACTGTTTTCCTCAAACTCTTCGCACTTGCTCTTTAGTTTATCAATAGACTCCTTTATGAGTTCCAGCTGCTCTTGCAGCTCTTCAGTTTGAGTTTCCAATGAGCCGTTTTGTGACTTGAGTAAGCTGTTCTCCACTTGAAGTTTTGCATTTTCATTTTGCAATTCTGAGTTTCGCTCTGCCGTTAAAGCCAGCTTAGACTCGGCATGCTCTGATCGTACAGTTACCTCGTTGGTTAGTTCTTTTTGAGTATTCAGTTCTACCTTTAGTAATTTTGATTCATCTTCCAAACAAGTAATCTTTTGCTGCAACTCATTGAGCGAGTTCAGACTAAACTTATCAGTAGCATCTTCGTCAAGGTTCAGCTGCCGACGAAGTGAGTCAATCATACTCGAGTTGACTGACGTCATTTGGTCCAGCTGACCTTGCAACTCTTTGATGGTGGTTTCTTTTGGCAGTAAACACTTGTCAATGGCCAACTGTACGCCTCGGGATACAATCTGATGGAGATTTTCTGATGTAGAGCCAGTAGTAATGTCAGCGAAACCGTGTTCCTGAAGGGCTTCCAATGTTTTTTCAAATTCATCCGCCAACTTTTGCGCTCGCAGCTTTTCAACCACCAAATCCTGTTGTAGTGCTGTGCACGTGTTCTTTTGCACAGTCACCGTATTTGCAAGATCTTTATTTTCCTTTTCAATTTCCTTCAGTTTGGCGTTCAACTGGTTTGCGGTGTCTAATTCTCTCTTTAATCTTTTGCCTTCTAGTTCCAGTGAGGACAGTTTACTAGCGTTCTCGTCAATAAGTTGGTCTTTGAACTCAATTGATGACTTCAGTCGATTGATTTCCTTGTCAAGTGACTTTTTCTCCTGCTCCAGTCGATGCTTGTCGCCTTCCAGATTTGTCATCTCCACTTCGAGATTATTCATTTTCTTGAGATTCAGTTTGAGCGACTCTGCATTGGCTGCTAGTTTGGTGTTTTCATTTTCAAGCAGCATCAATTCTGACTGGTATTCTTCAATCTTTTTATTCTTTGACTCAATAATCCGCTGGAATTTTTGATTTTCTGCACAAGATGCTGAGTAGTTGCGTTCGATTGTTTCTGATTTGTTGAACTCATCGTGTAGTTTGCTCTTTAGTTCGATCACCTCCTTTTCCAATTCCAGCTTAACATTCTCCAAGTTTTTGGCACTGTTTTGCACTGCTTTTAACTTGTCGACGTGCTCTTTGAGGTCATTTAACTTTTCAATTTTAGATCGGTTTGAAGTGAATCCACTGTCGGTTGAGGCAGTTTCAGAGTCGGCCACTGATGAGCTGGTGACGTCTTTTGGGTAAAAGTCAAAGAGGGAACTAAGCGAGTCGAGATCGACGTAGTTGTTTCGATAATCATCTAGCAAGTTCTGCAGTTTCTGATTTTCATGCTCTAGCTTGATCATTCGTTTGGTCGTGTCCTGGCTGATCTGATCAAACAGATTGCCCTCCTCTGTTTTTGCCTTTGATGACTCAGTATCGACGTGAGTTTGCGCTCGCATGTCGGTCAACTCCATTTGAACACGAGCCAGTTCATCATTGGCTGACTTTTTCTCCTGTCTCAAGTGGGCGATCTCTTCAATTAGTCTTTCCATTTGATTTCGATCCAGTTCTCTTTGCAGATTCACCTCATTACCGTAAGCGTTCAATTTGAGAATTTTTTCCTCCAGTTCAGGCAGCTTTTCCGCTCGTTTTCGACTTGAATCAAGCTGTTCTTCGAGCATTGTCTTTGTCTCGCAAAGGATTCGATTGTCCTCGCGCAGCTCTTCGACCCTAGACTTGAAAAACTCTAGTTCATTCATTTTATCACGATATCGCTGAACTTCGGCCTCCAGTCGGTCGACCTTGCGGCATCGCTCTCCGAGTACATCCAGCTCATCTCTGTACGCCTTTGCGGTGCGGGCCTCCTGTGTCAGCTCGAGATTTTGATTTCTCAGTTTATTGCAAAACTCCTTATTTTGCTCAATCACCTCCTTCAGCTCGACCACAGCTTCGCTCTTTTCCTCCAGCTCCTGTTGCACTCGACGCAGTCGACTCTTGACATCGGCCAACTCGACCAGGTAGTGCGACTTTTGATCACAATTAGTGTTGAGACTAGAATTGGACGACGACAGATTTTTCAATGAACTTGAAAAGACTGACGCTGTCGTTGAAAGTGTGAGGTTCAGCAGTTCACAGCTGAGATCAATGACCCGTTGGTGTAGCTGGTCGCGTTCCTTTGCAAGTCGGTTGATGTGACCAACAAAATGCAGGTAGAGGCGGTCTTTTTCCGCCTCTTCCGCTGGAGGCTGCGACCACTCAGAGACGAGAAACACCGACTCTGGATTGTAAGTAATCTGCTGGATGCATTCGACAATGGCATGTTGAGTTCCAATGTCCAGCTGCTTAATCTGCTCAATGAAGACCTCTTTCTGTTCGCATTGAACTGCGCAGCCGAGGATAAGTAGTAAAAAGGTGCGAATGTCATCACAGTGCGTTGAGGCGCAGTGAGAGCTGATGAGTGGACTCTCAGTGCTGATGCTGGCGACAAGGTCCTCATCGCAGTGCAGAGAAATGTTGATGACGTCGGGCAGTTTCAAGACGAGCACCTGGTCAAGGACGTTCTCGTAGAATGCTCGGATGTGGGCCAGCAGTAGGCTGAGTGACTTGATTCGGGACTGACTGGTCACTTGACCGGATGTAGGCAGATGTGTTGCATGTGGATCACTACATGAGAAAAGTAATTAGTTGACAATGTTGTACACTCGTTGAAACACTTACATTTGTAACCACGCCTTCTGAAGAAAGTAGCCATTACAAAGTTCAGAATAGTCTGAACATTCGTCTTCTAAAAGCGTTTTCACCTGTCGACATGAGAACATGAAAGCACATTAGACTGATGTAATTTTAACACTTCATTTAGCAAATCCAATTTCGAGTTTATTGGCTAAATTTGATGGCGCAACTAATCGCTCAATGTTCCTCTTTTCAAGCCAGTAACAGAAGTGGTGCTTTGTGATCAGTTATCGTTCATTCACTTTGCCGTTATCAAACTCTTTCACAGTTAATAGCTCGCTACCGAAAACGGTCGTTTTTGTGTCATATGAAACGGACTAGCAAAACTATCACAACCGCTACCAAAAGCAGGCAATTAGCAATCGTGACGGCAGATAAAACCCGAGTTTGAGCAGTTGCGGCCGAATTGACCAATTAGTCGCCTCGGTGTGCTCCTCAGCAGCCAGCACTGACATATCGCACTGCGAGTGGGCGCAGTGATGTGATTCAAGTCAGCCACCGAAGATTCAGACTGCTTCGTGTGCTTTGAGCAAATGGTCAGACAATTGTGCTGAGGCAATGCTGCAAGTCAGCATGATTTGGACATTGGTGCCTGTAGTTTATATTATTAATTCTAATTAAGGGAAGGCGCGCACACGACGCTGACATTGCGCCAGACATGTGTTTCCTTTGCGCTGCAATGTTCAGTGTTTGCTGTGCCCTAGTCTTCGAACCGTCATTGCGATCGGTGGATGTCAAGTAGGCAGAGAAGAAGCAGGCAGTCATCATCACCGACAGTAGCAAGCAGGCAGGCTGCAACAACTGCCACTCTTTAATAGTCGATAATTAAAGACAATTGCATTTGCAAATGCGTCAAATTGCCATAGAATGACTTGGTGCGTGATCCTATCAAGGACGGCTAGTCGAAATCGGTCACAATATCTAGCTGGGAAGGTGCGTTGCTAAGCAGCCAACGGACAAGGACTAGGGCAAAGGTTTGTTTGCGTTTCACTGAGTAAGGGGGTGAGTCACTGGGCGATTCCACTAGGACAAAGGCTTCAAACTGGCAAACTTACCCAGGTCACTAAGGGACTTTGCATGAGTGCAGTGCGCTCTGGGTGACTATTCATAGTGAGCAGGAATTCATTAGCAGTGGTGACACTGATTGCAGACAAAGGTGTTCATTAGCTGTCGGGAATGAGAAGAGATGCAGCCGACGGTCAACTTTGATTGGCCAGTGGCTGGTGTCGCCGTCGTCATCACCAATCAGCTGCTGCAGTAATCAGTTCTTTTAGAGCAGAACAGAAACGCACAAGACTGTCTGGCTGTAAGGGAGCGAGAGGTCACTTTACTTGTCATCAGACACCATTGCAGCAGCCACAGGCCAGCAGGCAACGGCACTGGCTCCCCTTTACTAGGCTTCAGCACAAAGTAGTTGAAGAAGGTGGATGGAGAAGTAAAGGCAGCACTAAAGTGCAACAAAAACACGCAGCCAATAGACACTTGGCCACTGGCACTTATATATAACATGTAATATCACCAGCACGGCACGAAATAGTAGGGAGCATTGAGGAAGAGGGTGCAGAGAAAGTTGGTGCCTTTAGCTGGTGCATCGGCGTTGGGTCAAGGGCGTTCGGGTACGGGTGCTCAGAGGAGGAAGAGAGAAGGGCCGGGCACCAGCAGCAGTACCCGAGAGGAGAGTCGTAGTAGCATGAGTGTTGTTGTTAGCACAGTCCTTTGCAGAGTAGTGAAGTGCAGTGTGTATTGCAGTGGTTATCTGGGCGACAGCCCGACTCACTGACTCTCTGTCGGACAGAACGGGCAGCAGCTGTGGCCAGTCAGTCAGTCGCCCTCTTCTCGCGCTTCACGTTTGCCGCTGTCTTCCAAAGCCGTCTTCCGAAGCTCTCGAGACAACACAGACACAGCACTTCACTGCCTTCTGCCTTCTGTCTACTGCACTGCTGCTGCTGCTGCTGCTGCTGCTGAAGCTGAAGCTGGTGGTCGTCGTCGTAGCTGACAACTGGCAAGCTCCACTGGCCACGCATGCGTTGCCGTTGACACTGCACACTTCGGCGGTGTTCACTGTCCGCCGAGTCTCCAACTGGTTCCGGAGCTAGCGTTGAGGTGCGGGCAGACAGGTGAGACTACACCGTCCGAGACACAGCCACCACAGCTGCCCTGCTGACGAGGGGAGAGAGGAAGCAGCACAACAGAGCTGACCTTAGGTCAGACAAAGCAGTGGTCAGTGGAGTGGCCGCCACTGCTGAACAGATGTCAAGTGGCACTGTCGCCGTCGTCCCTCTCCAGGAGGCACTCTTTCGCTCCACTGATGTGCTCAGTGCACTCTTTCCCCGCTCTTATTAGCCAGTAGATTATCAGCCAATAGATACTGCTCTTGCTCAGGTGATACTTGCAATCAACCAGGCGGAGGTAGGCAGCAAGTAGGAAAGAAAGATGTTTTCTCATCAAAACAATCGGGCTCCACAATTGGCAACGACACACTGCTTGTCCACCCGACCGGGCAATTAGACACGCAATGCACTCGGTTCTTGCAACGGCTACTCTCCACAAGGTGTGCCCCAATGAGGAGTCTGTGCTCTGGGCAGATAATGCAGGCAATGCAATCGGAGGTTGTGACGAAGCTGGCTTCAATGAAAAGGGGTTACTTAGTTATCATATGCTTCAGGTGAGGAGACTGCTTCCTTGCCATTGAGCTCGGCAGAGTGAGTGCTAGTCAAAGCACTACATTTGCTGGGCAATCAGCAACAGAGGCAGAAGCAGAAAGAGAAAGAAAAGACCTTTGCGAGAATCGTCAGCAGACAAGTGAGACTGAATGGACACGGACTAGTGACGGCGGCAAGAGTGTGGGCGCCAGTGACGAGCTTAGAAGAGGCAGGTTGATGATCACTCGGCCATCATCATCAGCAGTGATGCAATGCAGCTGATGAAGAGCTCACATGTGAGCTATCGTCTGCTAATGACTTTTAGGCAGCAGTGCCCTTTACCACAAACAAAGACGCACTTTCTAAACTAAACCGACAGCTACATTTCAACAGCCAATTGCCCGTAACTCTATTTGCCAATTGCCAATTGGCACAAGTCATAATATTCAAAATGTTCTTTGTTAAAATGTTTTCATTGTCTACCAACAGAGGGAAGTGAAAGCTTTTATTTTTATCAATTAGAGTCATTTTTAACCAACTTACAGCTGTCTAATTAAAATCATTTTTTATATTGGTGACTGTTTATTAAGGTGAGAGTGAGTCGAATTTTCTCATTTATTGGCTCTCGTA